GGAGAATGATGATAACAACTGCAACTAGTGGATTCCTCCACAATGGACATAGAAAAATAAGACTCTCCCAGCACTCATATACCTTCTACCATACAAGAAGATACATGTCTCCGCAAGCCACAAGCCCTCAAAACATGGAAAAGAGAAGGGACTAAGATGGGCAGACTACACAGAGCTTCAGAAACCCCTCTAATCATAGATCAACTTATCAGAGGAAAGAGAAATAGACCAGGGAAAGATCACTCTGATAACCCTGAAGAAACTCAAGTCTCCAAACAGGTGCATTCCAAAAAACTCAAAATTATCTCAGAAATGGTGGGGGTTGCCAGCCTTGAGTGGCACCCACAAGATAAATGTTAGCTCTGGTGTGGAATTGTAGAGGGCTTGGTGGGCCCTCTACAATTTCCCAAATCAGAGAGTTACTCAGAACTCATCACCCACATTTTCTTTTTCTTTCTGAAACAAAACAACAAAATGCTTTTGTTAAATCGGTCTGTAATAAGTTAGGTTTTGATAATAGACTAGCTATTGTAAATCTTAAAGGCCTTAGTGGTGGGCTTGTTTTGCTTTGGGATACACAAGTGGTTATTAGCCAGATTGTATGTAAAGACTTTTATATTGCTGTTGAATTTAAGCTACCCTCATCTATCTCCCAGTGGGGAGTTTTTGTTTACCTTAATCCTTGTAAATTAATTAGAGAATCCCAATGGACTGATCTGCTCATTGATAAACAGTTATGGGGTCACAACTGATTTGCAGTTGGTGACTGGAATGATCTTCTTTCTAATTCTGAGAAAACAGGTGGCATCCCTAGACCTCTGGCAAGTTTTTTTGGCTTTCACTCTTTTATCGATAGCATGGAGGTGTCTGAACTAAATATGAATGGCTACCCTTATACTTGAAGTAACAACAGAGCACCCCCCAACCTTGTTGAGGAGAAATTGGATAGGGCCTTTGGCTCCTTTGCATGGAATCAGACTTACCCTAATGCTATCACTTCAAGTATTATAAGAAGCTCATCTGACCACACTGCTGTTCTACTTGATCTAAGCTTACCAAGGGAAAGAAGAAAATCCAGTTTTCACTTTGACAAGAGATGGATTGGGAAGGAAGGGTTTGAAGAAGTAGTGACCAAGGCATTGCTATCTCCAGCCACTTGCACTCCTTTCTTCCAGCTCAAAGAAAAAGTGGAGAACACCAGAATTGCCCTCCTCATTTGGAGCTCCACATTTCAATCCCAGAACCAAAAAGCCATTACTGACCTCACACAGCAGCTTGCAGACCTGAATGCAAATAAATCTGACAGAAATTGGGAAGATTGGGAAAATACCAGGAGACAACTAAACAAGGCACACTCCCAAGAAGAATTATTCTGGCAACAAAAAGCAAAACACAGGTGGCTGAAGGAGGGGGATGCAAACACCAAATTCTTTCATGCATTTACATTACAGAGGAGGAAACTTAATGCCATCACAAGATTAATCACCAACCAAGGCACTATCCTCACAAACCAAAAAGATCTGGAGAACCAAATTGCTGACTTCTACACTACTCTTTTCTCTACTGAAGGTTGTTAGGGTGGAGACTCCATCCTTCATCTCATCCCCAGAAGTATTACCTCAGATATGAACCAAGCTTTACTCAAGCCAGTGGAAGAAGAGGAAGTCAAGGCCTCATTATTCGGCTTGCATCCTGATAAACCTCCAGAGGAAGATGGAATGACAGCTGCCTTTTACCATCACTTTTGGAGTTTGATAAAATCTGATCTCATGAAGGCAGTTACTTCTTTCTTCCAGTCAGGTATGATTCTCAAATATTGGAATCACACAGTGGTTTCCCTAATCCCTAAATTCCCCAAACCTGAACTTCTGAGTCAATTTAGTCCAATAAGTCTCTGCACTGTAGTTTACAAGACATATCAAAATTGCTTGCACTCAGACTTAAGGCATGCTTCACCTGTTGTATCAGTGATTTCCAAGCTGCTTTCATAGAGGGCAGACAACTAATAGATAATGTCATTATTGCACAAGAGGCCTTTCATTTCTTAAACAGACATTCCTCTGGGCCCAACTGCTTCATGGCCCTCAAGTTAGATCTTATTAAAGCATTTGATCGAGTAGAGTGGCTCTGTTTGAAAAAGATTATGATTCAAATGGGATTTCATTGTGATTTTGTGAAGCTGATCATGCTTTGTGTTTCTACTGCTTCTTTTTCTTTCAAGGTCAATGGCTCAGTGAGTGGTTATGTATCTCCCACCAGGGGCATAAGGCAGGGGGATCCTCTATCCCCCTACCTGTTCATTATTGTTGTTGAATTACTTACTGCCCTTATTCAGAATTCCCTCCTCACTGGTCAGTTTAAAGGATTAAAAATTTCCATAAATGGCCCTTTGCTCTCTCACCTGCTTTTTGCAGACGATTCCTTATTGTTTTGGAAAGCATGTGCTGATCAAGCTGGTATTATTATGAACATTTTGGAGCAGTACAGACTGTTCACAGGGCAAGCTATCAACCTCCACAAATCTGCAATCTTTTTCAGCAGGAACACTTCTCATCATCTTCAACATTCTATCTGCAGATCTTTGAATGGTATCACTTCTCACAGATCCACCAGGTATCTTGGCCTTCCACTTGGTATTGGCAAATCTAAAAAGGAGGTATTTGATTATCTCTTGACATCTGTTAGATATAAACTGACATCTTGGAAAGCTAAGTTACTCAGTCCAGCTGGTAAAGAAGTCCGCCTCAAAGCAGTGATTCAAGCATTGCCTGTGTTCTCTATGAGTTGCTTTACCATTCCTGCTTCTATTTGCTCTGAAATTGCTAGATTGAGTGCTAAATTTTGGTGGAAGTCAGGCATGGACCAATCATAAGGCATCCACTGGAAAAAATGGAATTTCCTCACTCTTCCAAAGGATTCTAGTGGCCTTGCTTTACAAGATCTTCAGCTTTTTAACAAAGCACTTATATGTAAGCAACTTTGGAGAATTGCCTCCAACCCAGACCCGTTAGTAAGCAGGCTTCTCAAGGATAGGTATTTCCCTTCCTCATCACTTGTCCATGCTTCTAAAACTCCTAATGGGTCCTGGATGTGGAATTGTTGGATGGAGGTGTTGCCAATCTTTTCTAAATGTTTGAACATTGAAATCAGAAGAAATCAGAAATGGAGTTAATACAAAAATCTCAGAGTTGCACTGGATCCTTGGCCTTTGTAAACCTTCTCCTTCTCTTATACCAATTGCTAGAGGGCATTTGATTTGGGTCAAAGACCTTTTGCAGCAAAATGTCCCCCAATGGAATAACTGGCTTGTCAGGAAAGTCTTTGATGAGACTGATAGCTCTGCCATTCTAAATATTGCCACATTGAACCCTCAGAGGCAAGACAGACTAATATGGAGTTTAGAGAAGAGAGGTCATTTCTCTGCTTCTAGTACATATGGCCACCTGTGCTCAATTAAGGTTATGCAATCAGACCTTCCAGAATGCAGCTCCTCTTCAGCTTCTAAGAAATCAGTCAAATATAGGCACTGGAGTTTGAAAATGGCAGGCAAGATTGAACACTTTGTGTGGAAATGCATCTCAGGCACCCTACCAGTTGCTGTCCATCTAAAAAAAAGAGGGGTAGACATTGATTCTACATGTTCTATCTGTGGAGCAGCTGCTGAGTCTATGGAGCATTTTTTTCTCTTGCTGCAGAGCAATCAAGATTTGGAAATTGAGCCCTGTTCAATGGGATGGCATCCTTGGGTATACAGACTCTTTTAAAGAGTGGTGGTACCAAATTTTCTCTCTTGGCCATTATGAAGTTGTCGAAGCTAGAATTCAACTCACTACATACATGCTTTGGTGGCTTTGGAAGTCAAGAAATTTATGGCTGTTTTAAAAATCTTTAATCCCGGAGCACTCTCTCATTAAACTGGCTCATGCAGATTGGTTTGTTTTCTCTCGGATTAGATATTAGTTTGGTTTTTCTGTTGTTCTTTTTTAGTTTAGTTTTGTTTAGTGGAGTACTCCTTACTAGGCTTTATAGCAGTGGTGGGAGTCTTCACTTTTGATTTGCCTTTCTCTGCTGTTTTTGAATTATTGGTTTTCTATCTGGGTCACCAGTTAGATCTCTTATTGAGGCTCTAGACCGCAATTTGTGTGTCTCTCAGTTTTATTTGTAGGCATGTTAGTACTTGATGTATTCGAACTATGTTCGCTTGAGATTTACAATAGTTATTTCTGTCGTTTTGGGAAAAAAAATTAATCACATGCAAAAGCAATAATTAATTAACATGCATAAATAATAAATATTTAATTGACATAATAGATTTAAATAAATAAATCCACTATTATGACCATTAAATATTGAGTCTCCTTAAATAAGGAAACCTTGACAGTTTCTTTCCTAGTCAAACTAGAACTCCTTTAGCAGTAGAATCATGGCGATAGGATCGACATAGGTCTTTTAGAATAATGGATTGATAGAAATATACTTGTAAAAGTGAAAGCTTTAAGTATAAATGAGATATTGTTAGTGTTATATAGGGCTGGCATTTTTGTACCGAAAACCAAAAACCGAAAACCTCGAACAGAACCGAACCGAACCGAACCGACGAGAAAATAAACCGAACCGTACCGAATCGCTTGTAACGGTAACCGATTATCGGTTACCGAATCACTATCGGTTCGGTATCGGTTTTGAACCCATAAAGGTTCGGTAAAACCGAACCGAACCGATAAGGATTAAAAAAAAAATCAGAGTAAGTGAATATTGTACATCTCATTGTAGTTGCGGGATTGGCCTGTAGTTAATTAACTGAGGTAATAATTATGAAGTTATCTGATTTTTCGAACAACAAATAATGCATAGGCTTAACTGTTNTCTATTTATCATCCTGATTAAAATATAATGCATAGAAACTGATGTGTTATTCCATATTTAAACAAAAAACAAATGAAAGAAACAGTTAAGAGAAACCTTTCTAATGGAACTTAATTATATTCAACTAGTCTAACTTAGGAAGGGCTATGAGCAACAGCATTCTCTGAGCAGTGAGCATTTGCCAAAGAACCAGATTTTGCCAAATGAATTGCAAGTTTCATGAAGTTGAATACTGATAATGACCCTTCTTGGCTAAATCCAGTTATGCCATCAATATTGTTTTGACAGGAAGAAAAATTAAGTATTTTGAAGTTCAAATTCTTCAAAACACTGTAGATTGACGTTTTCATCATCTTACGAACAACGAACACAAGAGATTTTAAATTCTTTGATAAATCCAGGTATGGTGCATAGTCCAGAGTCTTCAAATATCAAAATTTCAAATTTGGGGGGAACTGTTCAATCCCATATAATGTTTTTTCCATGTAGAAATTGCAAGCATCACACCAAACTGAATTCATTTACAAACAACGAACAGAAGAGATTCAATTCATTTGCTCGGCATTTTAGCAATTGCAAACCTGTTAGTAGGGTTCGGTAACCGAAACCAAACCGTTTTTTCTGTAACCGAAAATCGGTTACCGATTTCTAATTGGTTCTGTTTCGGTTTCGCATTTAGTGTTACCGAACATATCGGTTCGGCATCAGTTTTCTTTTATCGGTTTGGTTATCGAACCGATACCAGCCCTAGTGTTAAATACTGAAAGCTTGGCTTTGGATGATATTACAGTTTTACCCTTTATGAATAAGGAAATATACTTGTAAAAGCGAAATCTTCAAGTATAAATGAGATATTATTAGTGTTATATACTGAAAGCTTGGCTTTAGATGATATTACACTTTTACCCTTTATGAATGAGAATCATGTTAGATTAAACAAGTTTTATGTTCTGTTGTTTTGCACTTAGATAGAATGGGTCGCCATCGGGAGAACAAAAGATCATTGTATCAGTTACTTGTGAAACAAGAATTGTGGTTCACAACCAAGATGGAAATGAACACCTCATCCGAACGATTGTAGTGTCAACAGTACAGTTGGTCTTGACTGATTAGTTGCACTAGTACATTTATCTATTGAACAAGATCTAGAGAGGAGAAGTTCGTTTTAAACTGATCATCGTAAACGAACTAGGTCTCGGTTAATAACTGCGTTCTCTTAACCCGCAAGATATTAAACAGGCATATATATGTAGTAAATATTACTTTGATTCACTTAGGTGAGGTTCAGTTCGCTGGATTAATATTCGTACTGTCTTGGGTAATATTGTTGTATGTAGGATATACTGCATATATATGCCTGTTTAATATCTTACGGGTTAAGAGAACGCAGTAATTAACTGAGGCCTAGTTCATTTACGACGATCAGTATAAAACGAACTTCTCCTCCCTGAAATCCTGTTCAATACATAAATGTACTAGTGCAACTAATCAATCAAGACCAACTGTACTGTTGATACTACAACCGTTCGGATGGGATGTTCATTTCCATCTAGGTTGTGAACCACAATTCTTGTTTCGCAAGTAACTGATAGAATGATCTTTTGTTCGCCCGATGACGACCCATTCTATCTAAGTGCAAAATAACAAAACATAGAACTTGTTTAATCTAACATGATTCTCATTCATAAAAGGTAAAAGTGTAATATCATCCAAAATCAAGCTTTCAGTATATAACACTAACAACAAGGTGTCTCATGGCTGAGAAATGGGTACCGGTGACGGTGAGGATTCTGTTTTCTTTCTTTTATGTTTTGAAAAAATATTTGAAATTACTGAAATGCCCTAAAAAAATAGCTTTTTTTTAAGTCAAAACTACTTTTATATCCGGTTTAGGGGAAATTTGACAAACCCGTATAGTTCGGGTGGTGGTTTGTAAAAATAAAATAGTTTATATGGTGATGCGCAAAAATCGTTGTAGTTCGGATGGGAAAAAGTTTTTTACCCAACTAAAATTGAATGGAAATAATCAATTTTATTCGATCAGTTAACCGAATTATCCTAAATAATCAAAATAATTTATTATTTCTCTTATAAAAATATATTAAGTGTTTTAATACTTTTAATTAATTTTTTATAATATTTTTGGTTGAAAAGACATAATATATATATAAATTGTATAAAAAATAATATTTTTATATAGTTAGGTCGGTTAAGTTATTTTAAATAATAAAGTCGACATCTAAGCGAACTACCCAAAATACTAAAAGTAAATACAGATATTCGAACTGACATATAAAAATTCGAACCGAAAAATTTAGTTTGGTCGGTATTGTGCATTACAGCTGTCCTTAATGTGCATCTTGTCTTGCAGTATTGTGCATTATGCAGTGCAAACATTTTTAATGAGCATACACGTAATATAGTGTAATTTACCTAATATTAATGTTCAATTATTAGATTTTTAATAAACTATAAATAGTATATAATTAAAAGTTCATGAAACTTGCAAATAAGTCCTTGGGACTTATCAAATTTTCAAAGGAGGTCCTTATATTCAAAATAGAATTTCCGTCGTCGTCGTCCCTTATCGGTTCTCGTCGCCTTCCTCCTCAGTCAATCGATGTTCCGGCACCGGTCAGTTCCCTGTTCAAAATTATGCACATCGTCGATCAACGTTGTCGGTCGCGTTCTCGCCAACGATTCTTTTAACACTAAAGATGGTGACATTCATCGGGAGGAACGAGCTGTATCTCGTAGGCGAGGACGGCGATGAAGCTAGCGCCGCTGCGGATGTCTCATAAGTGGTCCTCCGTCGGTCGAGGATGGTGCTGGCGGAGTTGACTAATCTGGTGGTTGACGAAGAGCTTGTACTTCCAAAGCATGTCGTTGTAATCGATGGTCCTCTGTCGGTCGAGGACGGTGCCGACGGAGATGCCTAATTCAGTGGTTGACGACGAGGCTGTACTTCCGAAGCATGTCGTTGTAATTGATGTTGCTGATGTGGCCGCCGACACCAACGGTGGGGTAGACGTCGGCGCTAAAGAGGCTGCATGATTTGTTTTT